CACTCTTGTTACCCAGGCTGGAGTGCAATGGCGCGATCTCGGCTCACTGCAACCTCCGCCTCCTGGGCTCAGGCAATTGTCCTGCCTCAACCTCCTCAGTAGCTGGGATTACAGGCACGCACCACCATGCCCAGCTAATGTTTTGTATTTTTAGTAGAGACGGGGTTTCACCATGTTGGCCAGGATGGTCTCGATCTCCTGACCTCGTGATCCACCCGCCTCGGCCTCCCAAAGTGCTGGGATTACAGGCTTGAGCCACCGCGCCCGGCCAAAGTATAGATTTTAAAGAGTTCATAATAAAGTATATATTTTTAATATGGTGAAAATTTTCATTAAGATTATAGGAAGAGATTCCTCATGCTATAATATAAAATTTAAAAGAAAATATATCGGCCGGGTGTGGTGGCCCACACCTGTAATCCCAGCACTTTGGGAGGCCAAGGCGGGCGAATCACAAGCTCAAGACATCAAGACCATCCCGGCCAACATGGTGAAACCCCATCTCTACTAAAAATACAAAAATTAGCTGGACGTGGTGGCACGTGCCTGTAGGCCCAGCTACTTGGGAGGCTGAGGCAGGAGAATTGCTTGAACCCGGGAAGCGGAGGTTACAGTGAGCCGAGATTGTGCCGCTGCACTCCAGCCTGGCGCCTCAAAACAGAAAGACCATCTCTAAAAAAAAAAAAAAAAGAAAGTATATCTTACTCGAGCAAAGATCCCCAAAAATGAGTTCTAATGATTTCATTTCTTACTTCTAAGTCTCATAATTACTTTGATTAACATCTTTTTAGAAACTTTTTCTCTAATGTTTATAAAATATCTTAGTTAATTTGCTCCTTTTTGCAATTTGTTAAACATTAAATTTTATACTTACCATCTAAAAATGAAAGGTATCTGCTGATGGTTTCAGTGAAAATACGTTTTTCAGATTCTCCCTGGTTGGACTGGTTTAAAGCACCCCAGTTGTTTGTTGCAAGAACAGCTGGTAGAAATATTTTTGCCAACATATCCCTAATTCCATTTAAGAGTCCTTTCGATGCATCCAGAACAGTAAATAGCACTTCCTGAAAGAGTGGAGTTTAAATGTTATTTTACATGCTAATCCCACTAAAGAACTGAAAATCATAGCCTATTTTATATTGCAATAAACATAAACAACTAATACATTTTATAAAACTGTTAGGGAATCTTAAGCAGATAAAGAAACTTACATTCTGCTCCCACTTTAATTATTCCCATATTTGCTCATTAAAGTGATGCTTTATTCGGTGCTTCTATTTCTGCATAGGAAAGGAGCAATAGCCTGGAGCCTATTCAAGGTGAGAGACATGGAACCAAACCTTCATAAAGAAAATCCTCAGTGGAAAGTTGCCTTGTCCGCGAATTTTTTTTTTTTTTTCTGTTGAAAAGCCCTTGCCCGGAAGTTTGGTGGAATAAATCACCAGCCATAAGAAATCAAAAGCCCACCAGCCATGCATGACATTTCCATTAATACATCTTAAGTGACTTGGAAATCCCAAGCCAAAAAAATTAAGATTAAAAAACTTGTCTAAGGCAACAATAAATTGATTGCTTGTTTTTTAACAGTGAGTGTGTGGCAATAAGGTATACAATGACTCATACAGTTTGGTGTCATTGTCTTGATTTGCGTTAAAGGATCAGTAGTTTTTCCAACCATTGCTTCTGCACCATCAGTCAAATGTCAACATGGTGAAAAGGGCAACTAGCATCTTAGTATTAAGATGAAAATAGGTTTGGCTTTAAGAACTGCAGGTATACCACATAGCTCACCTGTGATTACATTTACTTCGTTATAATGATGTAAACAAATATTTAGCTAAGTGAAATGGAATATAACTATGTTGGAAGAATAGACGGATGGATAAACAAGGGTCAGAGGGTAAAAACAGCACTAAATTATCACCTTCCAGAGAGAAGGGAGAAAAGTCCTCAGAAAATGTCTTTTTTTTTTTTCTTTGAGACAAAGTCTCACTCTGTAGCCCAAGCTGAAGTGCAGAAGAGTGTTCTCGGCTCACTGCAACCTCTGCCTCAGGGACTCAAGCGATTCTCATGCCTCAGCCTCCCGAGTAGCTGAGACCTCAGGAGCACGCCATCATACCCTGCTAATTTTTTGTATTTTAGTAGAGGCAGGGTTTCACCCTGTTTCCCTGGGTGTTCTCGAACTCCTGAGCTCAGGCAATCTGCCCACCTCAGCCTCCCAAAGTGCTGGGATTACAGGTGTGAGCAACCACGCCTGGCCACAGATAATGTCTAAACTGACAAAAGGAGCAATCAGAGCATATTGTTTAGAGATATACAGGTAAATAAAAGAATCCATTAAAAGGGCTTTATAGTTGCTTCTGGAGAATAGAAGTCAGTTTTTCAGTTATGAAAGGCCTATACTATTTCATAAAAGGACTTTTCTGCTCTTATATGCACATATAATTGAGCTAAAACAAAAGCTAAATTATAAAAACAAATGGATTAAATCATGGATAAGTTGAATAAAGAATTAATGAAATGGAAGATAGATTGAGGAAACATCCATACATAGAGGCATCATGGTGAAACTACAGGACTTTGAAGACAAAGAGCAAAAGCAAACAAAGAAAAAAAGACAGATTACCTATGAATTACACTAACAGGAGTGCTCTCATCATCCACAAGAAATACCATGAAATATTTACAAGGGGTGAGGGAAAAATAACTGCCAACCTAGAATCTTAAACCAACCTAAACAAGCTCTCTTCAAGCAATCTCATCGTGTACAGAAAGGGAACAAGATTAGACTTCAGTTCCCTTTCCTATTGTAAAAGGTATTAAGACTCTCTAAGAATAACAAAGAGAACTAATATTTGTTGAGAGCCTACTGTACGACAGGCAATATAATAATAATTTACTTATATTATCATCTAGTGTCACTGCAGTCCTTCCAGGTGTTTATTACTATTCCAAATTTAAGAATGTAGAGACCTAAGTCTCAGAAAGGATGAGCAACTTTCCAGAGGACACACTTAAATGATTAGTCAGTGGAGAAGCTAAGAAGCAAATTTGTGTCTACCTGGCTAAAATTCTTGCTTTTCCTATTCCATCATCTTCCCTTCCCAGAGCTAGGATAGCAATGTCCAGGCTCTAGGACAACGCCCCCTTCTTTTAAAACTATAAAAGAGTTAAAATATTGAGTGAAGAAGAAGTTGAATAAAGTAACTAATACTTTGTATCAACAAAATTAAGTGTGTTCCTAGTGAATGGGAGGATAAAAATTATTTGCACACCATCAAGAAATGAAATTTTCATGAAATTAAAAGCAGTATCTAAAGTATCAATACAACTAAGGTCTGCTATAGTCAGTCTCTCAGTTTCTTTGAATATATGAATACATTTATTTTCTTGGAACTCAATTCAGTCCTATATTTAAAAAAGGGAAGCAAGTAAAGCCTAAGTATGACTATGAAAATATATTCAATGTTTATCCATTTGGGGCAATTTTTAAACATACCTCTTGAATAGTTTTAGCATTTATGGCAACATCATTACGACAACGAACAAAAAACACACACAGTCCTTTTAGTTTATCTGGGGTTGCAGTGTCTATATACAATTTCATCATTTTTGCCCCTTTAGTTGCTCCAGGAATAGTTCGACCACATTCTGAAAACAAAAGTCAAGAATTTAGCATATGATCCCATAACTAATCAAATGAGATAAGCTACTGTGGCTCTTACACTAGTGTTTCCTGTTTTACTTTGTTGTAAGAAGTTTTCAATATGATCATAGAATAGTTTTTTGGGGGGTCTACTAGAAGATTTCAATAACTGCATAACTGCTTCTTTTTTTTTTTTTTTTTTTTTTGAGACGGAGTCTTGCTCTGTTGCCCAGGCTGGAGTGCAGTGGTGTGATCTCAGCTCACTACAACCTTCACCTTCCTGGTTCAAGCCATTCTCCTGCCTCAGCCTTCCAAGTAGCTGGGACTACAGACACACACTACCACATCCGGCTAATTTTTGTATTTTTTTATTAGAGATGGGGTTTCACTATGTTGGCCAGGCTGGTCTCAAACTCCTGACCTCAGGTGATCCACCCACCTCGGCCTCCCAAAGTGCTGGGATTACAGGCGTGAGCCACCACACACTGCCAATATTTGCATCTTTTTTTTTCTTTGTTGAGACAGAGTCTCGCTGTGTCTCCCAGGCTTGAGTGCAGTGGCACAATCTCAGCTCACTGCAACCTCTGCCTCCCGGGTTCAAGCAATCCTTGTGCCTCAGCCTCCCAAGTAGCTGGGATTACAGGCATGTGCTACCATGCCTGGCTAAGTTTTGTATTTTTAGTAGAAACGGGGTTTTACCATGTTGGCCAGCCTGGTCTCGAACTTCTGGCCTAGTAATCTGCCCGCCTCAGCCTCCCATGTGCTGGGATTACAGGCATGAGCTACACACCTGGCCAATAATTGCATTATAAATTGCAGCCTCCTCTGGGTAACTTTCCCGGAACTCTGCACTTCACTTTTTTTTGGCCTGGCCTCAGGGCCTTATAAAAGCTGTTCTCCCATCCCATCCCCAACATTTTACCTACCAAATTCCTACTCATCTTTCAGATCTCAGCAGAAATGCCGCCATCTCAGGAAACCTTCACTGACTCCCAAAGATGGTCCAGTTCCTGTACTAAATACACTCATTGTATCTACCTTATATTAAATCCTTCCTTGGACTAATTTCACTGAAAATTAAACATTTAATTATTAATCCTGCTTTAATTAGAAAAACTATTAAACATATGAGAATTATACTAGATAATGGTTGCAATATAGATTTGCAAAAATCAGCCTCCTATTTGCAACAATAACCAACTTAAAATGTAATAAAAGAAATAGAAAATCATCCAGGTATGGTAACTCACGCCTATAATCCCAGCACTTTGGGAAGCCAAGGCGGGAGAATTGCTTGAACCCAGAAGTTTGAAACCTGCCTGGGCAACATAGTAAGACCTTATCTCTACAAATAATGTTTAAACATTAGCCTGGTGTGGCGGTGTGTGCCTGTAGTCCCAAGTACTCTGGAGGCTGAGGCGGGAGAATCACTTGAGCCTGGGAGGTAGAGACCGCAATAAGCCATGATCATACCACTGCACTCCAGCCTAGGCAACCTAGTGAGACCCCATCAAAAGAAAGAAAGAGAGAAAGAGAGAAACGGAGAGAGAGAGAGGAGAGAGAGAAAGAGAAAGAGAGAGAGAGAGTGGGTGGGAAAATCCATATCACAAAGCCACAGAAATGTTTTGTCTGCCCAGCCTTTCTTTTTGGGAGATTGGGAGAGTCCTCCTGCCCTGTGATTCTGGAGAATACCAGTGCCAAGGCTCTGTAGAAGCGGGCATGTAGAACTAGACTAATTAGACTCTGCAAGAATGAATGGAGACACACAAAGAAAAAAAGTGATTTGAGAGATGGAAATCTAATGATGAATCTTAAAGAAACTGCCCGAAATCTGTGGAAATGCTCCATTCTTGTCCCTCCCAAGGCCTGATTGTTCAACTAGTTCTAAATTTTGTTACCCAAATTCCCCCTCCCAAAAGACTATTTTCCACTCATACTAGCCAGAATCTATTTCTGTTGCTTGCAGCCAAAGAACCCCGATACATGGTATGTAGCAATGTAAGAGCCCAGATGCCCATATACAGAGGCTGCCCAGGTTTTACTACTCTCCCCTTTTTCCTTGGTAAGAGAACTTGACTTTGTCCCATTGTGTACATCCCTAGAAAGAAAACTGCACTCTCAGCCTCCCTGGCCCCCAGGGTAGCCATGTGACACAGTTCTGGCTGGTAAGACATAAGACAAGCCTGAGTTTTCCTGATAAAGAGGAAAGATGTGGCCATCAATAGAGAATGATTTCTAAAAACCACATTGCAAGCTGTATAAGGGAATGTTATTCTATTCAGAATTATTTGAATGAGGTAAATCTTTATGGGATGACGTAGAAAAATGTCTAGGCTACCCCGTCAAATGCAAACATCAAGTCAAGAATAAAATGTATTATAAAACTACATTTTTAACTGATAATTAGCATTGGTATGTTAACACATGCATATAAGAAAGAAATGTGGCCGGGTGTGGTGGCTCATGCCTATAATCCCAGCACTTTGGGAGGCTGAGGCGGGTGGATCACGAGGTCAGGAGTTTGAGACCATCCTAGCCAACATGGTGAAACCCCATCTCTACTAAAATACAAAACATTAGCTGAGCGTGGTGGCATGTGCCTGTAGTCCCAGCTACTCAGGAGGCTGAGGCAGAAGGATCGCTTGAATCCTGAAGGTGGAGGTTGCAGTGAGCTGGGATCACACCACTGCACTGCAGACTGCCCACGAAGCAAGACTTTGTCTCAAAAAAAAAAAAAAAAGAAAGAAAGAAATGTAGGCTGAGCTGGGTAGCTCACGCCTGCAACCCCAGCACTTTGGGAGGCTGAGGTGGGCGGATCACCTGAGGTCAGGAGTTCAAGACCAGCCTGGGAAACATGCTGAAACCCCGTCCTTACTAAAAATGCAAAACATTAGCCAGACATGGTGGTGTGTGCCTTTAATCCCAGCTACTGGGGAGGCTGAAGCAGGAGAATCATTTGAAGCTGGGAGGTGGAGGCTGCAGTGGGCCGAAATCACACCATTACACTCCAGCCTGGGTGACAGAGTAAGACGCGGCCTCAACAACAACAACAAAAAGAGAAAGAAAGAAAAGAAGGAAGAAAGGAAAGAAATGTAGATGAATATTTACCAAACTGAGAAATGTACTACCTTTCTAAGTAGCAAAAATGATGATTAAAAATATGTGTACCCTCTGCTCTGACAATTCCCCTTCTGAGAGTTCTTCCTAAAATTTATTCCTAATCCACATAGATTTGTATTCAGTTATATTCACTGAAGCATTGTTTCAGGAAGCAAGAAGTTGTAAACAACCTAAATTCTACTGAGAGATCAGTTTTGAAAATTATAGTTAATCAGCCTGACAAAATAAAATGCATATATTAACATTTTAATTGGATGAATATATTTATTGGCATAAAGAAGACAATATTATCAAATTTAAATGGCCACTATAGAATGATATGTAGGATTGGATCCCATTTTTGTAAAATATGTATATAAACCAGTTACAGAGAAATATTCATTAAGGAGTTAACAGTCCTTTCTTCAACTGAGTGGAACTGTGGATCATTTGTATTTTGCTTCTAATTATAGATATCTTATCTTTCTATAATTTTCAGCTATTGTTTTAATTTTTAACAAGTAATAAAAATGTAGACTACACAATAATCCTCCCACAATAAGAACTGTGAGAGACAGAAAATCCATGAAGCCAACCTAGTCACTAATTGCAAGTTTACATATTTTGTCAAAGAAGCAAGACTTTATATTAAACAATTAGAGGAAGGTAGAAGAACACAATCAAGTGCTATATATACAATGAATGATGTAAACGAGACAGGAATCTGGAGAACAGTGATGGATGTGGATTGGAACACCGTGGGAAGGGCTCTGCAGGAGGTGTTCTGAGGGAGGGGTAGGGTATGCTGAGTGGAGAGAAGAAAGGCAATCTGAAAAAGCCAGGAGACCAGAGAAGGGCAAAGAAATAACTCTGGTATACAGAAAACAAGGAAAAGGGGCTTGAAGGGAGCAGCAAATTCACATCTGGAAGAGTGGAAGATCAAACTAGACAAGTACTGTGTGTCCAGATGACAGCAGGCCTTGAATAAATGAGATCTGGACCCAATCCAATAAATGGCAGAACAATAAAAGATATACTTGGCAGGAATAAGCACTACAAATTTCAGAGGGAGAATCTGATTACAGAGATACTGGTTTTCAATCTGGAACACCAGGGAAGGCCTAGCCTAAAGCAGCTGAGGGACAGAGTGAGAAAGAACCAACGGGAGGGATGTGTTGAAGGTAAGTCCATGGGACTTTGATGATGAGTAGTCTAAGGCCAAAAGGGTAACCTACATATCTAGTCATTAAAACAAAGGTTTAACAAGCTGGTAGCATGTTAATTATTTCAGGCATAATATGCACCGTAGGGAAAACCAGCAATTCCAAATGACAGCTGCAGCAGGCACAAGATGCTGAGACAGGACCACGGGGGGCAGCAGCTGCGGGGCTCTGGAGTAGTTTCACAACCACTTATAATTATCTGGACAAAATGGCTGCACCTGTTTCGGGGACAATGCAATTAAATTCTAATGAAAATGTGTATTCCCAGTAGAGGTCAATGATTTCTACAAGGATGTTTTCTCCTTAAGACATTATAGTAAGGCCTGAAATATATATTTGGGCTGAGAATGTATTGTTCTTAAGACATTGTCTTTCTTATATGTAAACTTCTGGTAAAATTTTCTTTATAAATGAAAGATTATCTATGTATAAGAGAAAAAATATGCTGGACTTTAACGTTCATTAACTAATTACTGGCATATTGCCTTCATAAAATTCTTACCAATACCAGGTACGTCTCCTTCTTGGTACAAAAATTTCAGTGTCTTACAACCATCTTTCACAAAAAACTTAGCAAATGCTTCCAGCTGTTAAATAAAAAAGAAAATGATAATCAATAAAATGACTAAGGAAAAATCCTCAGTGTTTTGTAGATGCAGAAGATGAAGCTCAAAGAGTTTATTCAAGGTACACAGAGGCAAGATTAGAACCCAAACTAATTTAACTCGAAAATTACTGTGCAATATAGGTTGAATTCTATTTCTGAACCTACATTAATGTCCTACATATATAGTTTTGGGCAGCCACTTACCTGACCCTGCCCCACAGGATCACAGAGAGGTAAATAGGTGAGTCCAACTGGAGGTAAATATTTAATAAAAGATATATTATTAACATACACAATTCTTAAAAGATTACTTGGGGAACAGAAAACTTAGCCTTATTGCCTGTTTTATTGATAAATTATTTGAGCAATTATGTTTTTAGCTGTTGTAATTTGACCCATATTATAGTAAAACTAAAGTAAAGACAAATTATTATACTGAGATTCTTCCATATTTATGAGCATGAAGTTTTTATTCAATTACTTAGGAGTCAGTGTAATATCTTAGTAAATAGAAAACTAAATAGATCACATAAGCAAAAGCCCTGAAATATCCTATGGGAAATACAAAGTCACATACCCATTCACCTAATCCCACTGATTCCCATACAGGAGGCTTTCTCTTGGGTAGTGGTGTCTTTGTTTGCTTGTTTGTTTGTTGTTGTTGTTGTTGTTGTTTTTGATGTGGAGTTCTCACTCTGTCACCCAGGTGGGAGCGCAATGGCGCGATCTCGGCTCACTGCAACCTCGGCCTCCCAGGCTCAACAGATTCTCCTGCATCAGCCTCCCAAGTAGCTGAAATTACAGGCATCTGCCACCACACCAATCTAATTTTTGTATTTTTAGTAAAGATGGGATTTCGCCAGATTGGCCAGAAGGGTCTTGAACTCCTGACCTCAAGTAATGCTCCCACCTCGGGCTCCCAAAATGCCGGGATTACAGGTGTTAGCTACCACACCTGGCAGTGAGTATCTCTTAATCTACTGACTGCCTAGGGGAAGTATCCCAAGTGTAGCAAACCCAGTCCTCTTAGAACAGTGGTTCTCAAAAGTTAGTGTGCATCAGAGAATCACACAGAGGGCTTTTTAAAAACAAAATGATTTACATTTCTAACAAGTTCTAGGTGATGCTGATGCAGCTGGTCCTGGAACCATATCTGAGAACCTCCACCCTGGGAGATGAAACAGAGCCACCGAGATGTGCAAAATTCTAGCCCTTAGTTCTCTGCTCTTCCACCTCCCGTATATACTTGGGTGTCACATAATTACCACCTAAGAGGGACAAAAGCTGTCAGCATAGTTCTTCTGGCACAGCTCCATCAATACTTTTTTGCTGACCCTTAGGCTTTGAAAGCATACAAATTCTCAAAAGTAGAGCACATGACTGGGATAAAAAGACATCAAAATACCAAATGCAATGAATCCTTGCATTTTAGATACATCGTACTCATGAGACTAGCAAAGTAAATGTGCGATCATGGGCCAAAATCATGACTGTGAATTAAAAATTCACTTATATTACATAACATTTTACCAACTGCTCATCTGAGCATCACCTACGTAAAGTGGCATTATTTATACCCTTCTTGTGGAAGAGAAAATTAAGCTAAAAAGAATTTAAATAGGCCAGGCTCAGTGGCTCACCCCTAATTCCAGCACTTTTGGAGGCCCAGGTGGGCAGATTGCTTGAGCCCAAGAGTTCAAGACTAGCCTGAGAAACACAGAAAACATCTCCTCTTTATTAAAAATACCAAAAAATTAGCTGGGTGTGGTGGCATGTGCCAGTGGTCCCAGCTACAGGGGATGCTAAAGTGGAAGGTTGGCCTGAACCCTGGAGGTTGAGGCTGCAGTGAGCTGTAATCACACCACTGCACTCCAGCCAATCTCAAAAGAAAAAAAAGTTTAGGTGAAGGACCCAAAACACTCAAGCACGGCACAGAACCTAGGATTGGACCTCAGCCTTGGGTCTCCAAATCTGTGCTCCTTCCACAGTATCGCACCCAAGCCACCCAGTCATTGGAAAACATTGCCAGTAAGCCAGAAAAGAGATTATCTTGAGCAGTGCTGAATGAAGGGGGCAGGAAGGGCAGAAGGGGCAAAGTGCCAATGTTGCAGAAACATCTGTATTGGTCAGGGTCCTAACAAGAAAAGCAGTCACACCCAAAGAGGTTTTTGAAAAAACTTTATAAATAAAAAGCCTATTTCTAGAGGCCTGAGGGTTAAGGGAAGCTGTGGCACTAGCAGCAACAACGGGACTAGCAACAAAGGAAAATCATGATCCTCCCATGGCCTAAAGAGTTGAGGGCTAGGAGGAATAGAATGACTTCCGCCAGGTTGAGAACTGGAGATCCGGGCTGCTCAGGGGGCTGTAGTTTTGGGAGCAGACAACCACAGTCAGGAACATGGCCAAGTAGGGAGCTTCTCTCCCCTTCTGCCCTCACATCTCCTGCTGTGCCTCCCCATGGCTGAACCAAATGGAAGCCAGAGAGCAATGGAGCTCAGGTGATACATTCCATAGAGTTCAGCTTTCTAGGCACAGAGCAGGGCAGATACAGAGAATGGATCCAGAGGCAAACAAAGTAACCATCATACCCTCTGTTGTCCACTTTTTTGTGATGCCTTTACTGAGTTGCTTTCATCCTGGATTGCATACCAGGCTTCACAATAAAAGAATACTTTTCGATTGGGCACAGCGGTTCCTGCCTGTAATCCCAGCACTTTGGAAGGCCGAGGTGGGTGGATTATGAGGCCAGGAGTTCGAGACCAACGTGACCAACATGGTGAAACCCCATCTCTGCTAAAAATACAAAAATTAGCCAGGCGTTGTGGTGTGCATCTGTAATCCCAGCTACTCAGGAGGCTGGGGCAGGAGAATAGCTTGAACCTGGGAGGCAGAGGTTGCAGTGAGCCAAGATCAGGCCACTGCACTCCAGTCTGGGGGACAGAGCAAGACTCTGTCTAAAAAAAAAAAGAAAAAAGAAAGAATACTTTTCCAGACCCAGCATGGTGGCTTACACCTATAATCCCAGCCCTTTGGGGAGTCAAGGCTGGTGGATCACTTGAGGTCAAGAGTTCAAGATCAGCCTGGCCAAGATGGTGAAACCCTGTCTCTACTAAAAATACAAAAATTACCCAGGTATGGTGGCGCATACCCATAGTCCCAGCTACTCAAGAGGCTGATGCAGAAGAATTGCTTGAGCCCAGGAGATGGTGGTTACAGTGAGCTGAGATCACCCCACTGTACTCCAGCCTGGGAAACAGAGGAAGACTCCTCAAGAAAAAAAGATACTTTTCCATATACCCCCAATTTCCTAAACTGCACCACACCAGACCATGCCACCCCTTATGTTCCATCTTCTTACTCACCTGGTCACCAACCTCGATGCCAACTTATCATATGTCCTTGCCTTTTCCCTTCAACCAAATAAGCATTCTAATCTTTCAGATTTTGACACTGGTTTCCCTACTGGGTCCACAATTTTCCCTCCACCATGGCTTTGCACACTCACAAGCAACTCTTAAGGAAATACCTTTTCCAGCTTGATTCTTCCCTTAATGCCTGCATTTCCTATTCCTTGCAGCCTAAGCAGTGTCTGGCCTGGACCAGAATGGTCTTAAAGGTAGAATCTAACCACATGGACCCAATGTCTGAGACATACCCCAGGAATAGCAAACAGAAGGGTTTGCGGACACATAGCACTTCTACTTCCTGACTAGCATGCTAGCCAGAAAAATTCCTCCAAACAGAGAATGCCAACCCAGAAATCCAGATGGCAAATACTTAAAGTGGAATTACCAGTTCTGCAGGTGCCCACCTCCCCATCTTAGTTCTAGCAGTTACCCTTTCATGAAGGCAGGATCAGGCTGCAATGCCTATGCCTATACCCTTTGCAGAGGGTATAGGGATTTCAGCTGTGGTATTATCCAAATTTGTGGCCCAGCAATTTTCAGGTGAAACAAGATTGATCATTTATCTGGCTTCCTCCCTAACCAAATGCAGGAATGATCCTCGGGACAGGCCTGAAGCCTGGTCCTATAAGAAATGACTTTTTAGAAATTGGCCTTCCCTTCATCTCATTGTCATCATCTCAGGGATACCTATAAGATTGCTTTGCACCGATTGCTTAGAGAGACTAGAAAGACATGTAGTAGCCAGAGTCACCACAGTAACTAGAATAGTCATTGAGGAAGGGACAAACAAGCAAACCCAATTTGAGAATGGCAAAGAAAATCCTCTTACTATGTGGTTGGTATCGTCCACAGTCAAGACCAGTTATAGAATTTGATGAACCCAGTGCAAAATGAAAATGCAAGACATTTACTAAAAAATTATCAAGAACTTCAAAATGGTGACAAAAGATCATCAAACCAAGCACAGTGCCATTCTAAGCAGAGGGGCCTCTGTAACTACACAGCCCATATGTCCATGAAGCCAGCCTTGACCACAGCAGAAAATTCCAACAGGAAACTATGGTGACCTGGGAAACCACAGCCTACTTCCAGTTGCTTGTTATGGCACCTCTTGCTTTGTATACACATCTCCATGCACTCTCTATGTTTTGTCATTATTATGATGTCTTTGCATCAATCACATCCCCCATCTCACTGTTACAACTGCACACCAGGACCAGGAAAATGAGCAATCCCCTTCAACTGCCGGGACCGTGTTCTCAGAAGGATACTGGACGACATGAAGTGCAGACAGTTTTGCAGAACTTAGCAATGCACTGTATCAAGCAAGGGAGTAGCTTTTTTTGTTTTTGTTTTTGTTTTTATTTGAGTCTGAGTCTCACTCTATCACCCAGTGTGAAGTGTAGTGGTGCAATCTCAGCTGACTGCAATCTCTGCCTCCCAAGTTCAAGCGATCTTCCTGCCTCAGTCTCCGAAGTAGCTGAGATTACAGGTGCATGCCACCACACCTGGCTAATTTTTGTATTTTTAGTAAAGACGAGGTCTCACCATTTTGGTCAGGCTGTTCTCAAACTTCCAACCTCAGGTGATCCGCCTGCCTCGCCCTCCCAAAGTGCTGGGATTACAGGAGTGAGCCACTTCACCCAGCCGTTAGCAGCTCTTTAGGCACGATTCCATAGAACCCTGGCTCCTAGAGCAAGCTAAAGAGTTTTGCCCGTGTTTCATGACCCCTGAAAAAGCAGGGGATATGGCCCTTATAGTGACAACCTCACTACAACCCCACCTCACCCATCACTCTCACCAGTGCATTCAGTGAGACAATCAGCTCACCAGCAGTCTGCACCTGCTCACTGGTCTTTCTGGGATACCAGCCCCATTCACTCCTAGGGTTGAGAAAAAGCCCAAGAAGCTAATGGTAGTTTTATTGAAAATTATCTTGTAACCAGAGCTATCAGGACGGAAGCTATGACACAAGTGTATCATATGTTACTGTAATTAGAGTGACCATATCAATTTATCCAAAATTTTTAGTAGTGTCAGGAGGCTCTGTTAATGATGCCAGGAAAATAAGCATAATCCAGAACTGTCCCTGGCACCCTGAGATATATGGTAACCTGGCCTGCAGTCACATCACATCACTATTTTTTTGCCCCCGCTCATCTTTAATCCCCTCCCCATCCTGCCCAACCACACATCACTATTTTCTACTACTGTATACTCATACAACAGTCACTGTTCCCTTATTTTTGCAGTTTTTCTCTATAAGTGATTGGCATATGTGGTTCATATAACCTGTACTTGTAAAATATTACCCTACCGCCACTCAACGAGCCCTCTAACTTCTGACATCATTTTGAGTTAGAAGTTTAGCCAAAATTCTAGTTGCTAACTCTTCTCTTCTTCCTCCACAACGGTAGACCTGACTAGAAATACCATTCAACTGACTATAATTATATAAAATAAAGCTTCTTCTCTGGTTAGTAAAATTTCCAACTTTTGTCTTTTTCTTTTTTCTTTCTTTTGCTTTTTTTTAGACAGAATCTTACTCTGTTAGCCAGGCTGGAGTACTCACTGCATCCTCCACTGCCCATACTCAAGGGATCCTCCCACCTCAGCCTCCTGAGTAGCTGGGACTACAGGTTTGGACCACCATGCCCAGCTAATTTTTGTATTTTTTGAGAGACAGGAGTTTTCCCATGTTGTCCAGGCTAGTCTCAAACTCCTGGCCTCAAGCAATCCTCAAACGTCAGCCTCCCAAAGTGCTGGGATTACAGGCGTGAGCCACTGTGCCCTGCCCCAACTTTGTCTTTCTAAATGATTTTTGGGCGGGGCGCCAGTGATTCATTCCTGTAATCCCAACACTTTGGGAGGCCAAGGCAGAGGGAATCACAAGGTCAGGAGTTCCAGACCAGCCTGGCCAATATGGTGAAGTCCCGTCTCTACTAAAAAGGCAAAAAAACTAGCAGGGCATGATGGCACATGCCTGTAGTCCCAGCTACTTGGGAAGCTGAGGCAGAAGAATTGCTTGAACCTGAGAGGCAGACGTTGCAGTGAGCCGAGATCACACCACTGCGCTCCAGCCTGGGCAATAGAGGGAGACTCCGTCTCAAAAAAAATACATAAATAAATGATTTTTTCTTGTTGTCGTTTATGACAAGTCTATTTTCTTAAGTTAATCACTTTCTCAAAGTCTGTTGGGGGTGGGGGGCTAGGGGAGGGATAGCAGGGGGTGGGGAGATTGGGGAGGGCTAACACTAGGAGAAATACCTAATGTAGATGACGGGGGTGGGGGGGAGGTGTGGAGAGGACGGATAGATACAGCAGCAAAGCACCATGGCATGTGTATACCTATGTAACAATTCTGCAAGAGCTGCACATGTGCCCCAGAAGTTAAAGCATATATATATATATATGCATAAAATGATAAGACTTAAACTTACAGATGGGCAATCCAAAATTAATTCTTCAACAGTTACTATGTCCAGGCCAAGATTTTCTGCTAGAATTTCAAACATATATTTGTATGAAGGGTCAATTTTCAGTCTTCGGCTTTCCCTTGCTTCTCTAAATCTTGCCTAAGGAATGAAAACCAAGTGTAAAAATTGCAATTCTGAAGAAAGAACATCAAACTACTTCATATTTTGTAAAGTAAAAGGATTTCGCATTTGTAAAGGAAAAGTTGTAGGCATGGAAAATCTTATTAGAAGCAAACCTGTTTCTCTTTTAATGTTTCCTGTAGATTTGGGATGCCACTCATGCTGCGGCGGTATCGGGAGGACCGCCGGGAAGACGGGGAGGACAGCACTTCCGAAATCACTGATTGAACCGGTCGCGGTCCGAGCCTCGGTCGAACTCTATTCAGATCCGGCTCATGATCATCTGGAAGAACTAGCCCTTCTTCAGAAGAAATGAGATCCTGATAATCCTTCGCAGGAGGAACAGCATCTTCTGCGGAAAGAGAGAGATTATCTTCTGCCGGAGCCTCCACTGTCGGAGGGCGCGCTGCCTTGTCCTCTTCTGAACGGGGAGGAGCAGCCTCTTCTGTAGAGGGAGGAGCCTCTGCTCCCGCAGAAGGTACACCACCTTCTTCAGCATCCTTCTCCATCCTCCGTCGTGCAGAAGGCCTTAGACTTCAAAACCTAGAATTATAACATAGGTTCATTTAAAACTACAGTAAATGGAGTGTTGTATGTTTTTATTTCTTCCCTTTTAGCCAGACAAGTAGCAAAATCATCAAGTCCTCCCTTGCCATATTATCTGAGGAAGCTTAGTTTATGGGGCTGGAGAGGGGATATTTTTAGGGGGAACAGCACACACACACACACCTGGGAGCTTTTTCAGATTTTAAATGCTACTCCTGATAATGCTATGGCCCTAGAGGACTGTCCCTCCACCCACATCCCAGCCCTGCCATAGTCACCACGGCAATTCATTGGAGGGCACGTGTCCTCAGGTGTCTTAAAAAAGATTGAGGGCCACTGCATTAGAGGACCAACCGGAGATCACTGCCAAGGTACTCACCGTGCAAGAGACTGAGCAAAGAACTTCGTGGACTCTAAATGTTCTTTGCTTCAAGGAACTCAGTGATGCAATACAGTTCATCAATCAGACATTCTACTGTCTCCCATTTCATCTATATGGGCATAGCCTCAAACTCATAAAAGCATCCTTTTAGCAGCCAAAATAAGTAACTCTGAGTCTAAACAGAAAGTTCGCACTGAAAAGTGATTGTGACCATTTACTGAGGGAACGATACTACAGAAAGCATGAATCTAGCCTACCTAATCAGAAAAGCTCTAATAATAAAAAAGTGTAGAAGTTATGAGCACATAACCATGAAAATTAGGGGACACCAGTGGAACAGGAGATGTCAGTTACAGACAAAAATCATATTGTAGGACAATAATGATGCCTCCAGAAAAATATACATGCTTTTAGGATGTGGTTAAAATCCAGAAACCAGAATAATAGTAAATAGTTGGAGAACAAAAGGATACATTCCCAAACACATAAGACAGAAAAAGAGGCTTTCTAGTGAGAAATTCTGAAGACACAGATGCAGACCTGGTCTAAGTAAGATGGAGCTTCTTAGGTCGGGTCACCAGCAGACACAACACAGAGGCAGCCCATCACCTATGCCCCACAACGGCCCTCTCCAAGTTTTCCAGAGAACTCATAAACAGCTATCATTGTTTGGTTTGATACCCTTAGTTGGCCTACTGGAGGACAAACTGACCTATCTTTTAGCTGCCAGCTAACCAGCTAACCCACCTGCCTCTAGATGTGTCAACATGAACCATTGTTCCCAAACTATCACCAGGGTTTTTAAATCTTCCCTCTCCCTACCCTCTTCTCTCTCTCTCTCTCTCTCTCTCTCCATCTCTCTCTCTCTCTCTCTCTCTCATAACAGTGCCTCATTTTGCCACCCAGGCTAGACTGCAATGGCATGATCATATCTCACTGCAGCTTTGACCTCCCAGGCTTAAGTGACCCACCCACCTCAGTACTCCAAGTAGCTAAGACTACAGGTACATGCCACCCCTTATTTGTTTATTTATTTATTTACAGAGACAAGGTCTCACTATGTTGCTAAGGCTGGTCTCAAGCTCCTGGGCTCAGGCACTCTTCCCACCTCAGGCGTCTGAATAGCTGGGACAACAGGAATGCACCACCATGCATGTCTGTTGGGGTTTACACAGGATGGTGGCAGAAATATTAAAGGAAAGTAATAGAATATAGTCACAAATCCTTTTGGAAGGCCTAAGGGTTATTACTTGGCTGAAAGTAGCTTTGTCCCTTTAGTTAAATAATTAAACTCCCCACATTTCTTTGTCTCTAACTAGCTTGTTGACTCATGTAAACTTTGAGCTGAATGGTCCTCTCAGGAGTAGGTTGACCAGGAAATTTATCCTTTATGGTGTTTGCTCTGGGCATTAATCTTTCAAAGAACTACTCTCTTAACCATGTTAATTATCCACAAGTATGTTTACTCAAAGCCTTTGTTGTTAAATCTATACTGAATAAATTCGAGGAGGGAGAACTAGTGGGTGTCATGTAGCTGCAATCTCTGTGGGAAGCACACAATCACCTAGTCCACTCATTCACTGTACTCTGTGTTTCAGTGTATTTATTCATCCATCATGGAATCATGGTCTGCAGGACAGACCCCCGCACGTGGTGACCCTGACATGACCAATGTCACACATGGATAATTTTTTTATATTTTATTTTTTTCTTTTCTTTTTTTTTTTTTTTTTTTGAGACGGAGTTTCGCTCTTGTTGCCCAGGCTGGAGTGCAATGGCACGATCTCGGCTCACCGCAACCTCCGTCTCCTGGGTTCAGGCAATTCTCCTGCCTCAACCTCCTGAGTAGCTGGGATTACAGGCATGCGCCACCATGCCCAGCTGATTTTTTGTATTTTTAGTAGAGACGGGGTTTCACTATGTTGATCAGGATGGTCTTGATCTCTTGACCTCGTGATCCACCCGCCTCGGCCTCCCAAAGTGCTGGGATTACAGGCGTGAGCCACCGCGCCCGGCCTATATTTTATTTTTACGTACAGGGTCTCACTCTATTGCTCAGGCTGGTCACAAACTCAATAATTCTTAAATTTGATCTTTTGAGGTAATTTTCTATATCTTGTTCCTCTTCATTATTTTCCCTTTTGTCTCCTCTGTACATTTTCAAATAACCTGTCTGAGTCAGTGATTCTTTCTTTCTTTGATCTGCTGTTGAGAACCTCTAGTAAGTTTTTTAGTCCAGCAAATGTATTTAATTCTGAAATTTGTTTTTTTAATCTCAATCTTTTTGTTAATCTTCTCTGATAAATTTCTGAATCTTTTGTGTGTGTGCGTGTTATCTTGGAGATCACTGAGTTCTAAAACTGCCATTTTGAACTCTTGGTCAGAGGGTTCCTAATATTGCCTTCTTTGGTTAGTCACTACTTTCTTGCTTTGTCCTTTTGAAGAGGTCGTGTTCCCCTGTTTGCTATTGTTTCTTCTGAGTATATGTCTGTGTCTTTGTGTTGAAGGATTATTTACTCCAGTCTTCTCTGGCTGGCTGGCTTTGGTTTTTATTGGATGTGTCTGCTTTGAGTCTTTATAATTTACGTGTAGATTTTCTTTTCTTTTTCACCAAGTCACTGGCTCATTTCCAGCACTAGATGTCAGCCTAAGCCCAAGTTTGCCTCCGTTCTGGTAATCTGCTGCCCATCCAAAATGGGGGAAGTCCTAAAGGGATTATTCCCACAGTGCGGGAATGCTAGCTAGGGGTTCATGCCTAAGGCACCTGTGGGATGAGCGCCCTATGGCAGGGTACTGCCAAACAGCAACTCTGATTTGGTGTCTTAAGGTACAGAACAGAGTTTCCAGGGCTGGGGATGGTAGTCCTACCTCCCAGCTTTGTCTCTGGCTGTCCTCAGGGATATTTCTCCCTTTAGCACTGCCGATGCTTCCTGTGGATTGAGGCAAGAACAGATCTCCTGCCACAGAACCCAAGATGATAAGAAAGTTGGTTGTCTACTTCATTCTCACTTTTCGCATTACAGAAACCATAAGTCTGGGAGAAATTTTCCATTTGCCTGGTGCCAGGCAGACTGGAGTAAGGAGTGTCATTATATGGAAGTCCAATTCTCTTACCATCCTCTCAGAGGCTTTCTCCCTTCTCTGTGGTACTGGGAATGAGCTCATCCTTATATCTGAGTTTTGGGATATTGCTGGTGATAATCTTAACATTGTGTATTTGTTTCCATTTTCTGGTGGTCTATATATCTTAGGAGTTAAAGATTTAGGACCTAAGGTCAGGCACGGTGGCTCATGCCTGTAATCCCACCACTTTGGGAAGCCAAAGAGGACAGATCGCTTGAGCTCAGGAGTTTGACACCAACCTGGGCAACATGGAGAAACCCAACCCTGACAACAAATGCAAGAAATTAGATGGGCATGATGGCATGCACCTGTAGTCCCAGCTATTTGGAGGGCTGAGGAGGGAGGATAGCTTGAGCCCAGAAATTCGAGGCTGCAGTGAGCCGAGATGTCACCACTGCACTCCTGCCTGGGTGATAAAGTAAGAAACTGTCTTAAAAAATAAAAAATTAAAAAATTAGGACCTAAAATTCCCTATGAATCTACCCCCAAGCATTCACATTCTGCCGGCCCAAAGGACACAGAGTGACTGTAGCATCAACACTTGTTGACTTTCTCTGGGTCCTTCTCTCCTTCACAGACAACTTGCTCTGTTGCACAAGCTGGAGCATAGTCACGCAAGCACAGCTCACTGCAGTCCTCACGTCCCGGGCTCAAATGATCCTCCTACCTCAGCCTCCTGAGTAGCTAGGACTAAAGGTGTATACCGTCACACTTGGCTGTTCTTTTTTGGTTTTGGTTTTGGTTTTTCTGTATAGACAGAGTCTCACTATGCTGCCCTGGCTGGATGCAATCATTTTCAATTCCCACCATCTCTTCTCCTTAAGTTCAATTTTAAGGATTCAGTGAACTTCCACAAAGTCATCCCTGGTTATTTTCAGGAGCATTTATAGGTGTTGGACTCCTCCACACCTAAGAATACTACAGTAAGTGAGCAAGTTGCACACCTGTGTGCTGGGTACAGCCAATTCAACCACACCCTTTTCTCTTGTACCCATTTCTGTAACCCCATCCCTGAATGCATTAGTTCATTCAATATCTGTAACCCTATCCCTGAATGCATTAGTTCATTCAACATTATTGAGTGTCTTCTGCATGCCTGGCCACTGTGGTTACATAAAAGATTGAGGACTTCTTCAAAGCAAAATGCAGAATCAAACTGGTATTTGATTCTGTTGACTATTGAATACAACACAAGATGGTTAATGTCAATAACAGGTGAATTAACGAAGGGCTAAGGGAGCTTAGCAGGAAGCAAAACTTCTTTAAAAAAAACTTGACAGCGAAGGTGTCACCTGAGTCAAGTCTAAAGAAGAGCTGTCAGGACAGGATGGGAGAGAGAAACATTCTAGGCAGAAGATGGTACAAAAGCAGAGAAGCAAAAACAGCCACAACTAGTTTGGGAAACTAGGTAAATTCAGTGATGAGACTTTTGGGCTAGAGGGGAATGAGAACTGTATGGAAATGGAAAATAAGCCTGGAGGAATTAGGTATTTTTTTCTGTTTTACTTTTGAATTTTTAAAAATATATAGGTATATATTTTTAATTTTAATAGCTTTTGGGGTGCAGGTGGTTTTTGGTTACATGGATGCATTAGATAGTAGTGAAGTCTAAGATTTCAGGGTCACCCAGGTAGTCTACATTGTATGCGATATGTAGTTTTTGTTTTGTTTTTGAGACGAAGTCTCACTCCGTCACTTAGGCAATGGCAAGATCTCAGTTCACTGCAACCTCCACTTCCCGGGTTCAAGTCATTCTTCTGCCTCAGCCTCTTGAGTAGCTGGGACTACAGGTGTCTGCCACCATGCCCGGCTAATTGTTGTATTTTTATTAGAGACGGGGGTTTCTCCATGTTGGTCAGGCTGGTCTCGAACTCCTGACCTCGTGATTCTCCCGCCTCGGCCTCCCAAAATGCTGGGATTACAGGCGTGAGCTACCGCACCTGGCCACGACATGTCGTTTTTTTGTTTTTTGTTTTTTTTTTAATCCCTCACCCCTTCCCACCTTTCCCCTTCTGAGTCTCCAAATTCCACTATACCCCTCTGGATGCCTTTGCATAGCTATAGCTTAACTCCCACTCATAGGTGAGAGCGTGAGGTATTTGGTTTTCCATTCTCAAAACGGGGAGTGGGCGTGAAGTCACTTAGATGTCCAGCGAAGAGACTGACCAAGGGCAGTGGCTCAGCTGGGGTTTTGAAGTAGGAAACCCTGGGTCCAACTAACAGAGGCGGGGGACTGACTTGTAGCATGGATTCCAGTCCCCCAAAAAGAAGGAAAGTGGGCGGGGAACCCGGCTGCTGCAGGGCCCCCTGGGCGAGGGCCGGCTGCTCCCAGCGCGCCCCGACCTCGCACTCACCCGCCGCGCCCCGGGTCCCGATGGACCGACCCCTCAGCACACCGAGGCCGGGCCCGGCGGCTGCGCTGCCCCGGGGGAGCTGCTCTGGCCTCCGCGGCCCCGAGAGAGGCTGGCGGTTGGGAATCCGAGACAGGCTCGCTCGGGGTCGCCCCGCGAGGACTCTGCAACACGCGGCTCCCTTCGGCTGGAGGGGCACGGGCAGCTCCCGCGCTCCCCAATAAAGGACGCACCCACCCCACCGATCCCGGGGACTGAAACATTGTTTATGGGACCCCGGGCGCTGAAGGTCTGCTTCCTGGAGATTTGGAGTGCGGTGCCAGGGCCTTGGGAAGATTCCCGCGTATTCGTGGAAATATGTAAAGCTTGACAGCTTGACATTATTTTTTAATGTTTTAAAAACATTAAAACATTAAAAAATAATGTTTTCTGTGACCTTTACAGTTTCTGAAGTTACTATTTTCCTTGAGAAAATGAAAAACGTTTCCTGATGAGTCAGTGTGTTCAGAAACCTGACTGATGCGAGAGAAAGATTCTGGGGGAAAAGTGACTTCTCTCCTAAGGCCACCCCTCCCGTCTAGTATATTTCTGCTTTTGCTGTAACTGCCTGACATGGTGTGAGTGGTCCGTTTCTAGTTGGGTGTCTTAACTAAAGAAAAAAATTCAGTCTTTTAAATAATTAAAATTAGTTTTATTCAGCTGTCTTACTGAGGATTGCAATTCAGGAGAGTCTTTCAGAGAGTTTCTTTGAGAGTGCCTAAGCTTAGGTACAGAGGGTGGCATGTGATGGGAAGTGGCATCAGATGTGCTCAGCAGTTACATCAATGAGCTCAGAAGTTACATTAGAGCAAAAATCTCATCAAGGTTGGGGTTCGAGGGTTCATCTGGTTATAGATTTTAGAGGCATAATCATTAATCCTATCAGCTATTATCTTATGTACAGGAAAAGACATGAAGTTGGGATCTTTGAACTTTGGCAAGAAAAGATTCATGCAAGAGATGTTATCATCTTCAGGGGCATTCCTCTGGGGGCTGCACTTGGTAACAGAGTTAGGGGATTTGTGAATGGCTGGCAAAGGATTCTCTGACATTCTGCTGGTAAGCAGAATGAGCAAACATAGCTTCTGACATAAACTATTTTGTCTGGCAGTTGTTAAAGTCAGTCTTTGAATGCAGAGCAGATCAATGTGGAATGAGGACTGAAAGGTCCATCAACTGGAAAAAAAAAAAAAAGCAATGAATATAAAAAATCACAACTTAAACTGATTCATCCATATTAACAGACATTACTCAGTGATTATACCATATGAGCTTACGGGGGCAGGCAGTTCCTGCACATCCTTGCCAAGTATGCCAAAATGCAAGACCTACCTGCCCTCTAACCCTGAGCCGCTTCTTAGGTAATCTGTAAGCAACTAAGGAGGCCACAGTTACCATGCATGACGAGGCACAATTGCTCACTTCCCAGGGGAGAGGGACTAGCTTGTTTACTGCTCAATACAAAAGATGCTGAGCACTTAGCCCTAGATTCTTTACCTGACTCCCAGTCCACTGCCTGCATCTGAGCCCATGGGTTGCCCAGTGGGACTTGGGGTTGGAGGAACTGGCCTCCCATGTGATACTCCTACCATTTGTTGGCCTATAAGTAATAAGTGCTCTCTCTCATCCATCGAATCTTGTTTTCTTTTGGCACTGATGGAGCTGGGGCAGGTTTTATACTTGCTATCTTTCCCTGTCTCTATTATCTCTCTATTCTCACAGTAAGAAACAAAACAGAATATCATATCCCTTAATAAAGAGCCTTAAATATATTCCTTCATTTGCTTTAACCTACAAATGCCTCTTTTGAAAATATGTCGCTAAGAAATAATACTAAATATGGGACAGAGCTTTGGTTCTAAAGACGTGTTGCTGTGTTCGGTTTGTAGCACTGTGATCCATGCAATAGTTTCATTAACTCTGGCAGAAAACTAGCTTCATGGAATACTACCAAATGATAGCACCCCTGAGAATTCCTGAGATACAGCAAAAGTGTACCTTCCACAGAGTTCTCTTAAGGCTTAATAGAAAGTAAACCCCATGCAGCACTTATATAAGACATTAAGTGCCCATGATCCTGAGAATTAAGCGTCCCTGAAAATACGAGGAGGGAACACACATAAAAACACTTAGCGCAGTAGTACATGATAATGACTAAATCAATGCTAGCTGTTATTTGTAGTCATTTAGTATTAGTGTGTGCAGTAAAGAAAAGCACTGAACTGGTAATCAGGGAAACTGAATTAGTCCTGTGACTGTGCTACCCAATAAATGTTTGGTTGACCAACCCTTGGATGTGAAACTGCTCTGTGACTGGATGTCCTCATTTGTAAAAAGAAATGGGGAGTTGAGATAATCTCTAAGTTCCCTTCCAGTTCCAAAAATGTCTAACTCTATGACGAGTTTGGTTTCAAGCCTCATCGATTGAGAGAAAGAGGATACTATTGACAGAAATAAAAATGTCAAAACAACCAACTGGAAATGTCTCAGTATTGTAGGGAAGATGCAATTAAGGTGCACAGATTATCAATATTTGTTATAATTGTCCTAAAGTACCACATGATCATATTATCAAGTAACAATTTAAGTAGCCAGTTATTCAAGTAAAACATGTATAAATATTGAATAACTATCCACAGCTCATTCCTTTGAGGTTTTCTTGAAGGATTGTCGGTTTATGTCTATAACAGCACATTTATATCTTATTTATTGGTCCATTCTTCTTGCAAACAAAAAGCTCTGCCAATGCAGAAACCCAAAACACCTGACAGCAAGAACCTAAACAACTGTGAACCCAAAAGTATCTGAGACAGGTCACAATCAATTTATAAAGTTTAGTTTGCAAATATTTTGCCAAGGTTAAGTATGCACCCATGACACAGCCTCAGGAAGTCCTGATAACATGTGCCCAAGGTGACCAGGGGACAGCTTGCTTTATACGTTTTAGGGAGATACAATACATGGGGTGGGCCTTCTAGGCCATAGGTGGATTTTTAAATTTTCTGATTAGCAATTGGTTGAAAGAGTTATTATCAATGGAAAGAAATGTGTAGGTTACAATAAGGGGTTGTGGAGACCAAGGTTTTATCATGCAGTTGAAATCTCCAGGTATAGCAGGCTTCAGAGAAAACAGATTGTAAATGTTTCTTATCGGACTTAAAGAGTGTCCTATCAGTAATTCCAAGAGGGAGGAGGGTATAATGAGGCATGTCCAACCTCTCTTTCCATCATGGCCTGTACTAGTTTTCAATCTGTCTATTTTCCTACGGTTGGACATTTGGGCTTTATCATTTTTTTCTTTTTTTCTTTTTTCTTTTTTTACTATTCAAACCATGTCTCTTATATGTGTCTCATGGAGTGCAGACACAATAACCTTTTCATGCCCTTGGCCAAGAGGAGGGGACCATTCAGATGGTTGACAGCGGGGGCAGGAGCTTACAATTTTATTTTTGGTTTACACAACTAATATAATGATGTTCATTAAGGAAAATAAATGTAATCATAAAAGTATTTTAAACATATTCTCAGATTTCCTAATCTTAAATCATTACCAACAAAAAAAGCCACGTATATACCTCTTGTAATGGGTTGAATTGTGTATCCACCAAAAAATATGTCCAAGTCTTAACTTCCATGACCTGTGAATATGACCTTATTTGGGGAAAAAAAAAAATCTTGGCAGATGTAATTAAGTCAAAAATCTCAAGGTGAAATCACCCCGATTTAGGGTAGATCCTAAATCTATGACTAGAGTCCTTATCAAAGAAAGTGGAGAGAAATTATAGACATTAAGACAGGAAGGAAGGCCATGTGAAGATGAAGGCAGATTAGAGATACATTTCCACAAACTAAGGAACTCCAGGAGCCACCAAAAGCTGGAAGAGGCAAGGAAGGATTATCCGCAGAGCCTGTAAGTGGGGATGGCCCAGCTAACACCTTGATTTCACACTTTTTGACTCCAGAATTGTGAGAGAATAAGTTTCTGTTGTCACCAAGTTTGCGGTAATGTGTTACATTGTCCCTGGGAAAATTAATACACCCCTTCTACCAGAAAGGAGAATGTGAAAGTTTTCATGTCAGTGTGAAGTGTTTTATAAAAATTCTAAAATCTGGAGTTGAGAAGGGCTATGAAAAGAAGGGTCTCATGCTTGTATGCATGATAACAAAACTATCACAGAAGACTCCATGAAACTACAACCTTGTACAAAGGCCATCAAAACCTTATGCAAAAAGATAGTCTGCAAGGACATCTGCCCAGGAACTCTGTTCTTCCTTAGATGGACATCACCTTTACTGTTGAGCATTTTAGCCAAGGATAATTAAATCAATTACATAATCTTCCTTATTTTTCATTTAAAAACCTTTGTTTTCCTTTATCTCCCTGAATATGCACGTAGTTTAATATGGCACACATATTCCCATTGTGATGCCCGACGTTCAAATAAATACCTTTTTTTTTTTTTTTTTTTTTTTTTTTTAGAGAACCTCTCTCTGTTTTTGTTTGTTTTTTGAGATAGAGTCTCACTCTGTTGCCCAGGCTGGAGTGCAATGGTGCAGTCTTGGCTCACTGCAACCTCTGCCTCCCAGATTCAAGCAATTCTCCTGCCTCAGCCACCCGAGTAGCAGGGATTATAGGTGTGTGCTGGCACACTCAGCTAATTTTGCATTTTTAGTAGAGACGGGTTTTCACTATGTTGGCCAGGCTGGTCTTGAACTCCTAACCTCGTGATCCACCCAACTAGGCCTCCCCAAGTTCTGGGATTACAGGTGTGAGCTACCATGCCCAGCCTCTCTCCAATTTTAGTTTGACAAAGCACTTCTAAACTCTTTGGAATTTGTGTCTTCTCAAACAGGACCATTTCTAAACTTTTCCTTCCCCACTATCACTGTCTTTCCTTTTGTTTCTATATGTGGTGCTTGTTACTTTTTAGTTTTTTAAAACGTGTGATAAAATATTTAAAATATACAGAGAGTGATAAAGAATAATACAACTCTCCATTTGCCCAACACCCAGCTTAAGTTATAAAACATTGTAAACA